ATGTGGCTTGCCACATACACAGGCTCAGTCACACACTGAGTAAGGAAAGTGAAAGAGCGCCCTGTGTCAAATAGCTTTATTAGTGTCCAGAGTCTACAGTCAGTGTTCCTCTCCACGTGGAAAAAGTCTTTTTGTTTCACTTCTTCCTCTTCTCTTTCCAGTGAAAATGGATGTATTGGCTTTCCACAAGGAAACTGATTTCCTCACAAGTGAATTGACGGTTACCTTTCTGATTAGAAGCTCTTAGTAAAGGTAATGTATCTTAAGTTACTTAAACCTTAACCCTTTACAGCAATATTTGCTTAAAGTAAGAGATAAGGCTCTGTAACAACATCTCAGCACCAGAGCACAAATTTACTTTCACATCATTTTCACAGAATAATGTCATGATATCATCTAGGTAAAAAAACACAATGTGAAATCAGCTGTGCCAGTGTGTGTGGATTACACTGTGTACAACGCCAGAAAGTATGGAAGAAAGTATTGGGAACATTGCAAAGCCATTGGGAAGAGATAAATGTATCACCAGTGAACTCATCTGGTCTCTGCCTGGGCAGAGTGGGATGAGCCTCTCTTGTAGCACTGGTCTGGTGCAAGTGCCACTGGGTTAAGGAGGAAAGCTGAGGCTTAAGAGGCACTGGTGAAGAAAAGCTGATGAAAAGGAATAGTTGGAAGAATACAAGATCACGGATCTCCAAATACATTTGGCCAAGGAGACTTAAGCTGAGATCTGATCTTCAGTTCTCTTGTACCTAAACTGTATGTCCAATTCTGTCCAAGATCCCTGTATCAGTAACAGAGAAAGCTAGAGGTCTTTGAGGGGGGTTGGAGATTTTTGGCCAAAGTTTAAGTATCCAATTAGGTAGACAAGATGTCTCTCTGCAGGCTTTTGTAAATGTCCAACTTTCCTTGCCAACTACACAGAAGAACTGGACCCCTGCTTTGGGAAGCTCAGTTATATTTGAAGACATCTGCTTGAAGGCATCACGCATTAATGGACTCTGCTCTACCCTC